TGTGGTTCAGGAGGAGACAGAATCAGGATGACACGATCTCTCTGTTTCCCCTCTTGGCAGGAGGAAGAGGATTCCTTATCCCTAATCAAAACCACACTCATCTCCCTTTGAACAGCACTTGTGTGTGGCTACAAGCCCAGGGTGGGATCCAGAAAGGACGGATCCCTTCCCAGTTCTCCATATGGCACTGCTGGCTGTTATCAGCAAAAGGAGATCCTCCACCAGCTGGGAGATGGAGGTGTATGGGCAGGTCTCAGCAAACAGCAGAGCATCTGACCCTGTCAGCTGAAGATAAGAGCCACCAGCTTCTCAGCTGGTCAGCAGGACTTGGCCACATGAGGAAAAGTCTTGTTGGGTGCAAAGATGCTCCTAGTGCCACTGCCCAAAGCAGGGAGTTCTCATTTGCTTTACTGGGTCCCAGCTCATGCCAGTATTAATGCCTGCAGACAGACCAGCAGTGGCACAGCTCTGCTTGTGCTTGACCCCTGAGAGGTGCACCAACACGCATGGACATGGCTCATCTGCCCATTAACCCATGACAGGTACTGTAAACTCTCTCTTTGAGTTGCAGCTTCTTCACTTTAGGGGCAAACCCACCCTCACAAACCACAGGGGAGGAGGGCACTGAGGGGCCACAGGATTATTGACCACCCTGAGGTGGTCTCTGCCCAACCTGGGGCTGAATTCTGGGTTTGTGGTTATTGCCAGCAGCAGAGGTGGCCAGAGCTGTAAGTGCCCTGCATCCCTGCCTGCTGCAGGGCTGTGTGTCCACAGGAACTGCTGCCAGGACATCTCTGTTCACCTTCTGCATCCATCTTAGCTTCTCTGCCTTCTTCCAGGCTAGGAGCTGTTTACAATAAGAGTCTCCACAACATTTGCTTTCAACTCTTGGTTCAATATCACTCAAAGACCACTTTCCAACCTTCTCCCTGGGTTAGCAGATGTTTTCAATTTGGTGTGTTACAGTTAAAGTGGATTCACATGATTAATGATTAATACTTCTATCTGAATAATTACCTCATTCAGCCAGCTTTTCTTCTCGCTTTTGCATGAAAATATGCATGAAAAATGAGGACAGGATCTTCTTTCTCTATGACTGCATATATGGCATCACATTTCTTCTAGAAAGAAGAAAACATTTCTCTTGGGAAACAAATAACTGATGTTTCCACAGTGCTTGTGCACACATGTTGTCTCCAACATTTGTCCAGAGCAGCCACCCCTCTGAGACCTGCACTGTGCATTTAGAGACCTGGTGCTTGAGGAAAACCCTCCTCATGGAGAAGGTGCATTGTTACATAGATTGAAAAACCTAAAGTTTCAGGTGTAGATGATCAGAGCTGATAACCAGGCACCTAATATCAAATTTCTATAAGCAATTTCTAGACAAAAGTTCCCTTCAGCCAACTCAGTGATAAAGTTTCTTGTGTATATGTGCCTGCACATAAGGGGACATTGTTTTAAGGTCAGCTTAAATAATTATGTCTTCTTTAGTGGAAAATCTTAATTCATCAATGGAAAATCAAAATACTGATTATTTAAGCAGAAATTTTAAATGTTTATATTTTCAGCCAGTATTTTGGGGCTGAGGATTTCTTGTTCATGAACTATCAATATTTTTCATAGTTACCAGCATATGTAGACAAAAGACATTTCAACAAAGAGCCAGTCTGGTATTCCAGGAAGGAAATGCAGCAAACCTGATGCCAGTCTTTTCAGAAAGCCTCCCAAGCTAATCCAAGGAACTAGAGACCCACAGAAAATTTGCTCTGGGCTGTAGTAAACCACAGCCAGGTGAGGCAGACATAGATGAACAGTGGAGAAGGGCCAACACACCTTTTGCAGAGCAAATTCATGCCACTCAAGTCCAAGAGGAGATTTTGGATAGAGTTGGTGAGCACAAAGATGTGAGTGATCTGGTTAAGGACCAGAAGGGTGTTGTACTATTGAGCAGCTGGGTGCTATTTAGACATAGGTTTTACTAATTGAAAATGCCACACAGGAAGCACAATATTCAGGCTGGGCTCAAAACCAGGTATGTACAATCTGAGAGGGAGCCTGGTCGTCAGTGTCAATCTCAAAGGCATGCTAGGAATTGCCAGAAAAGGGTTTGAGATGAAAGCAGAAAACATCTTCAGGCTGCTGAGTGCCTGGTTCATTCCTGTCACCTGTGGTTCTGGCTGCAGAGCTCAAAGAGTTGTTTTTTTTTTAAAAAAAAAAAAACAACAACAAACTGAAAAATGAGTGAGGAGAGTGAAAAGGAGCATCTTGCACAAAATGGAAACGAAGCAGAGTTGGGTTCCTGGCTCTGGGGAAGAAAGAACCACGGGAGAAGCAGGTAATGGCAGTGTGAGAGGTATTACTGCTCTGGGGAAGGAGCGGGGCAGGGAGAACTCGTTCTTTGCTTGCCAAAACACAGAACTTGGGGGCATCTCCTGGAAGGGTAACACTGAAACTGGGAGTGTTTCCTGAAGGGATAACACTGAAATTGGGGACATCTCCTGAAAAGTCGAGGCAGAGTCATTTCAGTGAAGCAAACGCAGATGCTTTTCAGTTGGGTACAGCCACGCGCGATACACTCCCTATCCTGCTTTTACATCTTGAATACGAGGATTTAAACCGTATCCCCTCAAACCCTCTGTCCTCCCGCTCCCTACAGACCCCCCGCCCCTCTCTCCCGACACTGCTCCTCCCTTTCCTCGGT